CTTTCAGCTGGAAAACTTGTATTCATAAGAGTCAAGGATTTTCAATTCCTTGTTCCTTGTTTTAATTAGATTCCGGATTTTTTTTTTCATTTTATCAAATTCCAGAGTTATGGTAGAGAATGATTATTTTCGTAAGCAAACCCTATAGCAAGTTTAAAAAAAAAATAATTGTATTTTGTAGTCTAAGGATTGATAGGGAAAAAAATCAGATATATTAACTGTATGTTATGCTTGTATTATAAAGTTTCACGCCCTTATGCGATTAAACTACAAGATACATGTATTATTACTATAAAGAACTTAATATGAGACACACCTATAATAGCCTATCTGCTTATACATGTAGTTCGTAAAATCATATATTATCTGTATTCAATAATCCAGAAGTGAAAAAAGAATTAGATAGATTACATGATCAGTACGTACTGGTCCCTGCTGACAAAGCAGGTAACAACATTGTCTTTGTTTGTAAGGCTCATTATTTTAAATGTAATTTAGAGGAACTTGGATTTAATTCTACAAGTGGTAATCCAACTTGTACTCGTAGTTTCCTTTCTAAGGAAGAAATCCTTCAAAATCATATGTCAGTTTTGAATATTTTTAATATTCCAAACAACCAAAATGAATTTGAATTACCATATTTATATTGGAATCCGAAACTTCATAAAAATCCTTACAAAGATACATAGCGGGTTCCAGTAAATGTTCAATCAAGCCTCTTTCTTTACTCCTCACTAAGATATTAACAGTGGTGAAGAAGAAACTTCAAGAGTACTGTTCAACAATATATTTGAGAAGTGGTGTAAATCAGATGTGGATACTTAAAAATTCCAAGGAACTTTTGGGAAATTTGAAATCACAAGATTTTACCAAAATCAACAGCTTCAAAACTTACGACTTTTCTACTTTATACACAACCATTCAACACGATAAATTAAAGTCCAGGCTTTTTGATATAATTGACAGCTGCTTTTTCAATAAAAATGGAACTCGTAAATATACTTACCTTGTCATTGGTCATTTGCAAAATTATTTTGTTAAAAAACATTCTGATTGTACACACAAGTACTCTGAAGTTGACATCAAAAAGATGCTTGAGTTTCTGATTGACAATATCTATGTGGTGTTTGGAGACCAGGTCTTCCAACAATCTATTGGAATTCCCATGGGTACCAATTGCGCCCCGTTATTAGCAGACCTTTTTTGTATTCATATGAAGCAGAATTTGTCCAAAATCTTGTACGTGAAAAGAAGAAAACACTTGTTGTGGTCTTCAACTCGACATATAGATATATCGACGACGTATTGTCAATTAACAATGGCTATTTCCATTCTTATGTCGATACGATATATCCTGGTGAGCTTGAGATAAAAGATACCACAGAGTCTGACACATCTGTTTCATATTTGGATAATTTACTTGAAAAAGACGTTAATGGTAATCTAACAACCAAACTTTATGATAAACGTGATGACTTTAACTTTTCAATCGCCAACTTCCCTTACTTATGCAGCAATATACCTTCATCACCTGCATACGGGGTATATATCTCTCAGTTGATTCAATGCGCAAGAGCACGCTCTACGTATGTACAATTTCTAAAAAGAGGTAAATTACTAACAAACAAGTTGATGAAACAAGAATATCAGCAGTCTCGTTTAAAGTCATAATTTCGTAAGTTCTATGGTCGATACAATGACCTTGTCAGCAAATACAATTTATCATTGAGTCAAATGCTGACTGACGATTTTCATACTAATTGTTAGGCCATTATTTACACACTGAATTGTCGACGGATTTTTCCGTTTTTCCCGATCATGACAAGGAGCACACGGCGGGTGTGACCGGTCGGCAGGGGATGCTCACTCCTCCATGGCACCTGATCCCACCGCTGACGTTTAGAGGTCCGTGTTTGCTCTGCTCCTATTTTGTATTGTTTAATGGACTTTTGAGCTTGAATACTGTTCGTTATCTCAATATATGTCATATATTTTTCGACAATAAATCACATTATAAATTCGGATAAACGAACATTGATAATATTTTCTGTTACTAACCGGCTACTTTCGTGCACCAGGGTTCTTTAGCAATTTATTTGATTGATTTTTTTTATAGAAAGAAAACTAAAACTACTTTTAAAGAGTACTAAAAGGAATATAATATTTTTTGTAAGAATTTCATTACCTGCTGGAGTTCTAACCCTCTACTAGATATGAAAATATCTGAGTTCCATTTTAAAATTGAATCAGTTTCTTTTTAATTTAAAAACCCTGGTCTAAATTTTATAGCGAGGAATGAATGTATAAAGTTTGAAATCAGTATGCTTTGATTTTCAAAAATAAAAGATTCGAAATATCTTTAAGTCCGTTAGAATTTTTAGCACCTACATTTGATTAACATCGCTTCTAGAAAATGTTATTGCGCAGTACTGCTGGAGATTCTCTTTCACTGCTTTTAAAGAGTAAAGACTTTGAATAACATTTACAAGGAAAATCTTTGCAATGAAAAAAGGTGAAAATAACGAATAGCCTGATTGATGTCATTAATTCTTTGAATGATAAATATTGTGAACAGTGTAAAAACATGTAGGGACCCTTTGAAACAAAAGGAGTGAAATTAGATGCCTAGGAGGACTAAGCAACCCCTGTCGAGCTGTTACATCCGCCATGAGTTCTCTATATTGATCATACACATACATGTATAAACGGATAGCCTGGTTCCCTGTCCCTGCTTTGCTTTGTGTACTCCGCGGCGTGGATGCATCAGGGAACGAGATTAAGAAACTGAGTAGTTTGTAGTGTAGATTAGTTTTAAAAATGGGCTTAGGATTTTTATAAAGATTTGAAACAATGTGTGATAGTTTACGAGTATTCAGTTTGGTTCAACTGAACCTGTTCCATTGAGTTTGAACTGTGAGTATAAGTTTGATTGCCATAAGATTTCCCTAATGCTCTACGTTTGAACAATTTCTTAATCGAGATAAGTTATTCACAAACAAGAGGATGAAACAAGAATATCAACAGTCTCGTTTAAAGTCATCATTTCGTAAGTTCGATACAATGACCTTGTCAGCAAATACAATCTATCATTAATCTAATTGTTAGACCATCATTTACACACTGAATTGTCTACGGATTTTTTTCGTTATTTTCCGATCATGAAATGGGGCACACGGATGGTGTGACCGGCGGCAGGGGATGCTTACTCCCCCATGGCATATGATCCCAGCTCTGATGTTTTAGAGGTGCTTGCTCTTCTCCTGATTTGTATTGTTTAAATGGACTTTTGAGCTTGAATACTGTTCGTTATATTTCATCTAATTAAATCTAAGTGCCTCTGAAACGCCATTGTAATGAAACAAATGTTCTGTTTATATGCTTTGACACCTTGAACAAGTACATGCTGGCCATGTTATGTTTATATAATCTTTTTATCCTTTCCGAGTTACTGAAGACAGAAAATTAAACAAAAAAATGCTTTCTTTGGTTGTTAGTGCGGGAATTAATGTCGCAGCTGTTGCAGAAAAAATGCATAACCCGCGTAAGCGGGTTATGTGAATTTTTTCTGCAATAGCTGCGACATTAATTACCGTACTAAAAACAAAGAAAGACATTTTATTGTTTATATTTATATCTTTAAAAAGCATTCAAAGTAAATTAAATATGTTAAATATTGTATTATAGATTCATATATCATTGTATGCATAATTGATGGAACAGCCGTTGCTTAAGAAATCTATGCAGGTGGCTTACTTAGTGCTGTTTACTCGCTGATTAACGGCAATGGTTTTTATAAGAAATAAAGGAAACAATATTCAGTGGATGTAATTGTGTATATGGTACGCATTGACACTCAATGTTTCATGAGTTTTAAATACCAATCTTATACTTTACATCTATTCTGACAAAATGTCAAGGTTTTTTTCTTCATAGTATTTAGACTTTTGAAAATTGAGCAGTTGACGATCGCCAATTTACACTTCTTGACTCAGCAGGTTTTTTTTAATTTAACATATTTTTGTTCTCCTCGACAAATGTTATACCTGTACTTCGTGATTTCCATCACGACCTGCATAAGGATGAGAATGTTCATGTATATATTTGATACACATATTTTAGGTTATTGATTGGAAGTCGAACAAGTAACTATTTTCAATCACTTCCCAAGGAAACAAAATCTTTACTTCTGGTACTTGAATCAGGATTTTGAAACAATTATTATAACATATTTTCTATAATACTATTATGTGATAATTACCTTTATAGTTTAATTTTTTTTTAAAAAGTGATGACTTATCGCTGATCAAAGAAAACATAAACCATATGCTTAGACAAACTGTATCCTTTAATCTCATTCACTTAAGTTTCGTTATCTATAAATAATTTAAGAATAAGTGAAAAATATGATAATTAATAGTGTTTATTACATGACATTGACGATGAAATTGATTGATTGAATGACAATGCATAAACAAAATGAAAAAAAAAACAATCAACTAGTGACGGAGATAGATTAATTTTGAGTTTAAAATAACAGTTTATTTCTTAGTCTGAATGAGGTGTATAACTACTGACAGTGTTTATACCAAGGATTTTTAGAGATATATTTTAGATTTCCACTCATTCAGCATAATTAAAAATTGGAAAGAAAACTCGGGGCCAGTGTTCATATCACTAATCAACAATGCAATAAATTGACATTTTTGCATTTAAATTACAACTTTAATATTGATCAATTTAACTTCAATCATCTTTTATCAGATGTAATTATGGTAATAAATTTAATCTCATTTCATGTAAAATAGTACAATACAAATAAAATATATTATTGAAAAAAATGTCAATTAATGCACATGAATTATTTTGTGACCTTTTTGCCCTAATAAATTATCATATTTTGGGTAAAATCTAACCATCCAATATAATATTTTCTTATATCAATTTTTATGAATTTATTGCTAAGAAGTATCGAGTAATTTGAAAATAAAGATAAAAAGCTTAGACCAGTGATGTAAATTTTGAATTATGTGTCAAAATGTGCAAATTTTAGGCTAAAAAAGAAAGTTTAATTATATTTACCTTTTCAATGTATTACCAAGATTTAGCAAAGATTTTAGAAAAGAAATGTATAAAATCCTTTCTAGAATTGAAAACTTTATTGAATAGACCTAGCATATAATAACCTGAAAAATTCTGCGAGTAAGAAAACGCATGGCGGAAGTTCCAACATATCGAAAAAAATTAAACCTGCATGCACATTTTGATAACTTCTTCTCAATATCCTTCCACTGCAAGAAATATTCCTCATAACTCTTATTTCTCGCCTGTTTTGAGAGCGGTTTTTAATTTAATATTGTACATCTGGTATGATTTAATTTAAATATGGTAAAAAATAAAAAATAAATGATAATTTCGAGTATACAGGTTTTGACCAAACTTTTCGCAAAAGTTGACGAGTGACATGCCTTTAGAAGTTTTGAAAACGAAATTTACATGTTAATCTTATTTTTTGTTTCATTTTTTTTCAACGAAATAAAAAAAATTTTCCCCTATGAAATTAAGAAACAAAATCCTTCTAATGAGTAATTACGATTCATTTTCATACATATCAATAAAAAAAAGCAATAACCACACCTTTAAAAAATCATCAGGATACTGAATGGTTAGTGATATTGTAAAAGATTAATGAATGAAATATGTAGAGATAACGAATAGCATTCGAGCTCAAAATCCACTGAATATCAAGGATGCCTTAATGAACACAAAATTGGTTTTATTATAAACTTTATCCCAAAGGATCTCTTGGACATTGTGATATTCACCGTCTCTTATTATGAGAATTTTCCAGATCCATATGCACAGTCATTTTACTTGAACAATGCAGAATAACGGCAAATTTCCAATGATTTTCCTTTCCTCAAAATTCCTTGATACAACATTCACATTTTCACAGTGTGACTCTATATTTGCTGGAAGAACTTGATCAGTGAAGAACGACTCGATGAAAATTCTATGGTAAAATAAGTAATGAAAATTCTATGGTAAAATAAGTAATGAACACTCATGATCTCTGTGCTTGATCGTACTGGTCAAATCCCGAATCAAAACTAACGGACTCTTGTTGTTTGTCGGGGAAGGTGATTCTGTAGAAATTGTCAACTTGATTGTCAGAAGTGTCCTTCAGCCGTTCGTGTCTTATCCTTCCTGACCTCCACCTAGTTAAAATAGCATCACAATTATTGCAGCTAATAATTATTGCAGTAAATAACAAAATAAAAGAGGTTTTTGACAATATTTCTCCATCTTCATGTGAAGAACAGCAAAACCACTTATTCTAAGCAGAAGGGAATCTTCTGTGTTTTGAAAGATTGAAACTTCCCAATAAAACAAATAAAAATTTATTATAGTAAGGTCTTTATAATCTTGTAAATGAAAAAAGTGGCATTTGAAAGTTTGTTTCATTCTGCCATGAGCACCTTGCAAATCTGTCTGATTGATTAAGTGATTTAAGATGACGTTCAAATTCATGCGGACTTACCGAGTAAAAACAAACATGGCGGATATAATTATTATAATAAAGGCTACCACACATACGACAGCTATGGCGATGATGCCTCCTTTTGATAAGCCAGAGTCGGGATCTGTGGACAAATAACAATATCATGATAATACAATTTACTCTCTGTATTATAAAATTGGATTCATGAATGTTTATTGGAGGAAGAGATTTCGAATAAGTTTATATTGTAAATAGGGACGCCAAGATGTGTGTGTGTGTGTGTGAGTGTGTGTGTGTGTGTGTGTGTGTGTGTGTGTGTGTGTTTTGTTTTTGTTTTTTTGAAAATAACACTTTCATTTTGTTAAGAGAGAGGAGAAATTATTAATTCAGCATGTTCAATAATCCGAAAAATATAAGTTCAACATGTTCAATGTGTTTAATTAAAACTTACAAGTTATATACTGGCTAGATGCCCTCGAACCTGGATGGTATTTTGCTTGAGACTCTATTGAAGTAGCATTTTCATCTACAAAAACAATTTCCATGTTTCATGTTGACACCAAATTATCACTTCCAATTATTCAAATGTCGAAAAATAAATATGCTTAATAGCCATACCAGTTTGTATACATCTATATCCCATTTCTTTATATCCATCTGCGCATGCGCAAACAAATTTTAGGTTGGGAAGGGGTATACATATGTGGTCACAAGAGAAAACGCTAGTACACCCATTTGCACCTAAAAATAAAGCGAAGAAAACTAATTTCCTAGTTATTTGGGAAGAAATGTAATTAAAACTTCCTTATTTTTGCTGATAGTCTGACACATATGTATCATATTTGGATATTTTACCAGAAAATGACGTTAACTGTAATCTAAAAACCAAGCTTTATGATAAACGTGATGACTTTAACTTTTCAATCGCCAACTTCCCTTACTTATACAGCAATATATCTTCATCACTTACGGGGTTTATATCTCTAAGTTGATTCTATACGCAAGAGCATGCTCTACGTAAGAACAATTTCTAAAACGAGGTAAGTTATTGACAAACAAGTTGATGAAACAAGAATATCAGCAGTCTCCTTTAAAGTCGTCATTTCGTAAGTTCTATGGTCGATACAATGACCTTGTCAGCAAACATAATTAATCATTAAGTCAAATGCTGACTGATGTTTTTCATACTAATTGTTAGGCCATTATTTACACACTGAATTGTCGACGGATTTTTCCGTTATGACCCGATCACGACAAGGAGCAGACAACGGGCGTGACCAGTCGGCAGGGGATGCTCATTCCTCCATGGCACCTGATCCCACTTCTGGCGTTTTAGAGGTCTGTCTTTGCTCTGCTCCAAAATGTGTATTGCTTAATGGCCTTTTGAGCTTGAATACTGTTCGTTATCTCCATACACTTCATTATATAAAGCTTAAATAATCATTTTGAAATTCTTTAAAATATATATTACAGATACCTTTAATTAAATATGTTGAATTATACGAAGCCAGTCCGTTCAACCGTGAGAAGGCTCCAGGTCCTAGTTGCTTCATGTTCGATGATCCTCCATCCAAAGTAGTTTTAGGTATTGTTTTCAGGTAACTGGAAACCGGATAAATGATAAATTCAGCATGTTCAAACTGACTTGCGAAGCTTAATTTTGACATTTAACTTTTTTTCTAATTTCGCATTTAGTGACAGTAGAAGTAAAAGAAAATCATAATCTAGTACAAGTAACACATTTTTCTTAAACTTAACATTATTTTTCCAGTCTATTGCTGAAAAGATATATATATTTGTGTGCATCTTGCATTTAGGTTAAAGATTAGTAAACAATATTATGCATTCTTAAGGCAAAGCAATAGCTACAAATCCATCAAGGACTATGAGCATTATAAGTTTGTGTGACTTTAACAGATTTGTGTCAATATACAAATTTTTATATCGAGGAAAAGGGCGTTTGCTTTGTTGATTATTTTTTTTTCAATACAAATGTTAAAAAAGTTATTCAAGCACCATGTTGTCTGCTCAAAATTGTAATATACATGGCATTTATTATAAACACAACAAGTAGCTACATACCCTTTTGAACATGAGAGAATTGTTAAGTATAATACGGGACCATTTGATGTCCCTCTAATATCCCAGAATTTTAAAAAAAAATCTTACAAAAAAGCGGAAGTGATGATTACATGTGAAGTGATCAAAATTATTAAAAAGATTTTAAGCCACTCTTTTATTTAAATTTGGTGAAAAAGTAGAGATTTTTTGGTATAGTAAGCATATTTTCTGAAAAATATCTCGCATTTGAAATCAAGAAAGTCAGACAAAATAGAAATTTTTCATAAAGGTCAATTTCCGTAGAATGACATTGGATTTGATTTATGTGGGTTGATTCTTTTTTCAAAGGCAGCTGTTTTCACAGATAATATATGGTGATATAACCATTGTCTCATTAATCCTCTCGAGAAGAAAATATCGAGAAGATAATGTTACGTGACCTAGATCTATTTACAGATCTGGATGTTTTGTCAGGAAATATAACGATTTCATATCTAAACCATGGAGATTTAGATCAATATCAATTCAAAGTCCCAGACTTTTTCATCAGAGGAAATGAAAACAAGTCAAAGTCGAATATATATTTATATCACTTTCTGATGAGATTCCAATCCTTTTCCAACCATATTACGATTTGTTTCTCCAGAAAGAATATCTCAACAGTACTGGAACCAATTGACAAATTGTCTTGAGACAAAGTTTGGTAATTGATAGAAAAAAAGTATCACATCTATAAAGTGTCAAATGGAGTAAACTGCCAATCTTACTTTGTTTTCCAGTCAGAAATGATAAGATTGTTGCCATTCAAAGCGATTCCAAAGTAGTGTGCATCTGACTCTTTCACAACCAGTCTTCGGTCGCGTCCTTCGATAGACATGGCTTCGATCGTATTCTTTTTGGCGTCAACCCAGTACAAAACATTTTCTGCAAAAAAATACATAAGTACATATAAATTAGGTTCATTCATCTGTCCTTTCTTAGTGAATTTCAATTACAATAGTATTTTTGTTGTTCGAGGTATTTTAAACATATATAGATATATCACTGATGCATCTTTTCAAAGTCAACAAAACTGTACGCTACCTAAGACATATACGTCAATTGTTTCATTAATCAACTTAAACATTTTGCCATTAAGTAAGAAGCTAAATAAAGGACAGAAACGACCGTTTTGTACTTCAAACAGTTTTGCAAATCTTATCAAATATGATGTCTGCAAACCTCCCAGTTTCTATTTGTGGTATCATGACATTGTGAGAAATTGTGGGTATTGATTATTTGGTGTGCAGAGATGTGTCTGAACAGGGGTTCACTCTGGTAATATTACTTAAAAAGAGAGTGAATAAAAATTTTTAAACATATCTAAATAAGTTGATTTTATCTTCTTTTTTTAAATATAAATGTTGTATTTATTTTATAAAATTGTTTAGTTTGTCAACATGTTACAAGGTATTTAAAGGTATATTCTTAAGTAGTTCAAATTTCAAATATGTCTGTATAAATCATTTGTAATGCAAAGAAAACGCTTATAATCAAATTGATTGATTGTTGTTTTACGTTCCGTGCGAGAGTTTTTCATTGCCAAATACCTGTGAAGGGTTTTAAATTTAGGCTTATACTCGGCACTTACGGCCATAGAGCAATGATAGTTCTTTATTTGCCAACGCCTACCGTGACACTGGACCTACGTTTTTAAGGTCATACCCGCAAACCCATGACTTTAGAATTGATTAAGCAAAGGCATTGATTAATATGTGTGTTTTAAAAACCATCTAATTAAATTACACTTCTACATTGTAATATCATCTTCTGACAAATGTGATTACGATTATGGTGTAATTCGTTTTAACATATTTGCACTTAAGTCACTGATGAAATTATTGGTAGAACACGCAAGAACTTCGTCACGACAGACTTTTTCAGTAAGAAAACCGATACTTATAAAAACCTTATCTTACAGCAAAAAGGCTTGTTTATCTTTTTTCTTTATTTACAAGACAACACACTCTCACACAAAAATAATCATACAAGGTAATAATAATGGTGATCAAATACCTAGCACAAAAACGATCAATTTCTGAAGCATTGTGTAGGATAGTGATTACGTTTAACAAGTAATTTAGCAGTTCAGTTCAGTTTATTCACTCAAAATCGTGCAAATGGTAAGAAAACATAATACTAGTATGCATATAATACAAATAAAGAGACCGACTAATCAATGTTTGTTAATTATAAATGTACTTTTTCCAACGTCTTTTAATTATAAGCACATATCATAGTCTTTCGAATTTAGCAAAATTTTTGGTTCAAGAATTCTTTTGGCAAATTATACATAGAGCAACACGTAATAAAATATATTGTTATTAATCTCCTATCTGTATCATAACTCCAAATTCCATAAATTCCATCTGCTTGTTTTAACGGGTTGACGGTGGTTTATTGTCCTTAATGTTACCAGAGTTTTTCTCCTAAATTTACATGATTACAGTGTTCATATTTTTCACACTCAAAATTACTTTCAAAAACTCTGTAATTTAAACTTTCTGAAAATTCCTGGACTTCACTGTTCCTCTTCTGTACATATCAATCTAATTTTTGTTTGACTCACTGAGTTTACATCATAACAAGTTTATTCAAACTGCAAGTTAGCTTAACCAGTTATTTATCATATTTTTTACGTACATGCCGTCGCCCGCGTGGCGCAGTGGTTAGAGCGTCTGCTCTAGAGTCGCCAAGTAAGGAGTTGATCCTTACGTCGCGGGTTCGAATCCCAGTGTGGGACGTGGAGACCGATCCTTCGGATGAGACCGTATAAACCGAGGTCCCGTGTCGCAGTAGGTGCTGGCACGAAAAAGATCCTTCACTGCTCAATGGCCATGAATGCCGAGTATAGGCCAAAAATTTGCAGCTCTTCACCGGCATGTGGTGGCGTCTCCATATGAGTGAAAAATTCTCTCGAGGGACGTTAAACAGCATAAAAAACAAACGTACATGCCATTTTAAATATACAATTCTAGACAACTTATGTTCTTTTCCAGACACAAGTTTTGCCCATTGTGTAATAATACATAATTATATTACTATACACGTGTTAGCAAACTTCCGATTTCCAATTTCAAACTGGCATTATGATGTCAAAGGTGTTAGCACATACCTACAGAAATTACATTACAGCCTTACTTAAAAATTTTTTACGATAACCTTCAAGATTGAAATTTTACATTAATCTACTGATCCTTTACATTCAGTAAAATATTTTATTAAAATTATAGTTAATTTTCATGATTTTGATCAATACTTAGTATTACAAGTCGATGATTTCTCAAAGGGTATTAATCAAACTACTCGTTTTTCCCCTGGAACACAATAATTATACAAGAATCAACATTAAAAACTTTGTGATAATACAATAACTGTACCTCTCTTCAATTACTATAGAGAAGAAAAAACATTCAACATTCTCAAAGAGTTATAGATATCCACTCTCCTTCCATTTTTTGGTCATTTTTTGTATTAAAAAGATAAAGATAGTCCTATGTGTCATTCATTAAACCAACCATGGTTCTACGCATGCTCAGTCATCGTTAATCTTTTTGCATCTACTCTCAACGTAAGTCCCAAGTCCATATCTGGACATGTATTTCACCACCATCGCACGTCAATTAAAAATGTGAGTTCTATTTCCTTGTAGATAATATACCCTTTAGATGAATGCATTGCAAATTGAATGTATATTACATGTACTTTTGCAATTGTGCAATTGTTGCAAGATGGGACTATCATTATGATAGTTATGCCAATTCAATCACTGAGGTTACACTTCAACATCCTTGATATATAATGCCCCCAGAGATTCGAACTCTCACTAAAACGACAGTCCATTCTTTCGAATTTGATCTAAAATTGTCCATAAATATTGTAGCTTGCAACTTTGAACTTGGTTGATGGAATTTTCAACAGAGCATACAATGTATATTTCAATTAACAGGCATATGCATTAAAGGTTTACCACCATTAATATCTTAAGTTTGTAGTTAGATGCCATGTACTTTAGCTAAAAACTAATTATAATAAGCTGAAAGCATAATATCTTTTAATGTGAATGTGAAAATAAGAAAAATTGTGATTTACGAGTAAAAGTCAAACTCATACATCGATATTTTAGTGGTTTTTTTAAGTATGTTTATTGTTTTAGGGGAGAGGGGGTGGTGGTTTTTGTTTTGCATATGCCACTTCTTTAATAAAATGTTTAACGTAGACACATATGTTGCCTTTTCTTTGTATTTATGTTTGAATAACGTCAAAGTAAATCCATGTGACAATTATATTTGCTAAAACTTGAATTTTTATGCTTGCAATTAAAGTTCTGCACCAGGTCATTTGCTCTTTCACCGAAAAGTCACTAAGGTAATAGCCTTGTTCCATTTTCCAATCAATTTTTACAATATTTAGATGTCTTTAATGGCTTAAGTTTTTGAAATGTAACTCTATACACTTTGATTCAAAGATAATTACGATGAGCTATTCATACTGAATATTTCTTTAGTGTGCATTAGATTGCTTGATGAAACAAAATTGAGCACAAAAAAACCTATAGTAGTATTTTAACTTCTACATGTAATTGATGTCAATTATTGATACAATAAATACAATGGCTTGTATGTTCATTAGATTGTGGATAGCTTGGTTTTTTTCAGAAAAGGCATACTGCATCATCAATATATTTCTTTGTCAGATCTTCATTACAAACCTAAGGATCTTGATTTTAACAATCTAGTATCAATTTTACAATATCTACAGTGGCAAATTACATTCACGAAGGAATGATATTGTCTGACTGAAAATTTCCTTTGGATTGAAAAATGTCAGATGAAATGTAATTTTACATGTTACAAATGTTTTATTTGCAAGTAAAAAATTGTACAGGGGAGTGTACACTCTAAACTGAAAATCCTAAATATTGAGTATCTTGATATCAGTGCAAAAAATATTCTGAGACTTCATGCAGACCATTGAAATAAACAAATTAGGTTTCACGCACCTTGATAGTCTATTATAAGACCATTAGGCCAAGCTTCTCCGCTGAGATTAAGAAATATCCTTCGTTTGCTACCGTCCATATTGGCCAATTCTATTTTTGGTTCACTTCCCCAGTCAGACCAGAAAAGAAGCCTGAAAATTATTATCAAAAAATGTGCTTGAAATTACTTGCACATACTAGTATTTATCATGAATTTATTAAAGAATTGATGGATTTCAAGATGCGTAATCTCTCAATTACCCTTTAAGTGGATGTATGGTTATTGCCCTGGGTTCGTCAAGGTTATCCTGTATAATTGTCTTGCATATCAAGTAGTTGTCCATTGAAATGACTTGAATACGATCTAGGCCTGTGTCCGTATAGAACAATAAACGGTTTGTATAGTCCGCTGCCAGACCATCAACAACAGAATCTGAAAATCAAAGCAACAATAAGCAAAGAAATAATTGACATTATTGAGAATTTTCACAATCTTTCTTATTGAAATTTCCATTGATAAACACAATAAATGTCAAATATTGAGCAGTTTGATCTATTTTTTACCATATTTCATGGAGGACAAGAACCTCTAAACTTGTAGAAATACAAATCACTCAGACTAAGCTATCGTTTTTCTGATATATAGAAATTAATTGAAGTCTGATTATGATATACACGCTCATATGAAGGCTGATTAAGTGACTCGTCGTGTGAATTCTGTAAAAGGTGTCAATAGCGGACATCTATGAAAGGGACCTTCAGCATGACATGAAAGTTGAACATTCAGCCTATTTATCATTCTGAGCTGAAGTTTTTTGCAAATATCTCTGTGTGTTAATCTATACTAACGTATGAAATAGATTTTTTAAAAGATATATTAAAAAAAAGTGTAAGGCACTATAACACATATAACACATATACAAGTGAACAGTTTTTATAGTTCAAAACATAAAAAAGTTCAGCTTAGAATTTGCTAATAACATAAAATTATCAATTTTCTTTTCAAATATTGAGATTTTTTGCCTTTGGCCAAAATTTGATCATGTTGAATTGTTTTCGGAGTATTTATATTAAATAAACTTTTTCTATAAGTCTCAAAACAAAGTTCGCAATTTTTATGACTTTTTTTTTCCCTTCAAAGCGAGCTTCTTTTCAGGCCTAAGATACTGTCCCAAATTGTCCAAATTGAAAATTGGAGAACATTAAGTGTACCTTTTGAGAGGGCTTTAACAATTTCTGCAGACCGCCCTTCAATGTTAACTCTTTGAATGGCCTTTCCCTTTGAATTGTCATTATCTGTCCAGTACAAGTGTCCTCTCACTGGATCAAAGCCAACTGCGATTGGTCTGCTGTGACTGACTTCCGGTGCAATGACGTAAACATCACCAGTCGCTAGATCCATTTGGTAAAGTTGTTTTTGGTAGGAGTCTGCAGCTATTACAAAGTTTTCTCGAACTGACGCTGTAATTGTCAAAGTAAGATTTTTACTTGTATACTAAATGAATCTTTAAATACACGTATATAAACTTCAGAAAGTGATTCATTGTTTCTTAACAATAGACTTATCCATGTGTCCCTTACATAACATATTCAAGCAATGTTGTTTGTCTATTATAATTTTACAGATTATTATTGATTATATATCTGTGATTAATAATAATGGAAATATAGCTTGTATTTTTTTGCAACAAAATGACCTTCCGGTTAACTTAGAAATATTATCGAGATAACACGTATTACATAAGCATATTGGAAAACAGATTTCATAAATATTTCTGATAACAAGAATGGACGTCCCAACACTGCATTCTAATTTAACTTTTCTTTCTGAGATGTGAAAGTTTTATTTTTGTAATTGTTAGAATGACCATAACGTTGGCTCTGCATTTTTGTAACAATTATTGAATTATTCTTTGTCGAAATATACGCAAATTTGCCAAGTATTTCATTGTAAAATTGTCAAAAGTCAAATGTTGCAAATTTTAACCTGATATACAAGATCGCAGGTCTTCGTCTAGTTGAAATCCTGTTCCGCATGCGCAGACATAAGAGTCGTTAAACAGTCCAAGACACAGCTGGTCACAGTATCCATTGTTGTCACCACAGGCCACTTTTACCAGAAAACAAAATATATCTACATGTATAAATTGCTTTACGTTCACTTAAACTTACTCATCTCGTAAAAGTCAATTTCAAAGTGTGCACTCTCACAAATTCATACAGAGAAACTTATGAAAGAGAGCCGAAACTGATTCAGCATATGTTTTTCTTTGAATAATACCATCTAGAATGGGTTGGTTGAGGACGTCATAAGCAATGACGTCAAGAGCTATTCCAGTTTGCGGATGCAGAATTCCCCGGACTTTGTTTTTCGTCTGCATATCTGCGATGTGAATACCATTCATGTCGAACTGGTCTGTCCATACGAGGTAATCCTTCAATCATATTGTTATGTCAAGACGTGTCTTATTCATGCAATACAGACACCAATTCTATATACAAAAATATACTGAACCATTTTTATATATTTTACTTTTCAAAAAATAATTATATTGTCAATTCAAATTAATTTCTTCATTATGTTATCTTTGTTGCTTGTTGCTTTTGTAAACAATGTCAAAAATTTAAAAGAATGCGTATATGCCATACTTGAAATATGCTGATGCCATAGAAACTAGCTGACTGGTATTTGAAAACAACAGATGCCATGCCTAAAGCAAGATCATAACTGACAACTTGATTTAATCCGGAATCTGCCCAGTATAACCTGATATAAAAGAAAAGTAATTATTTATTTATTGTTATATTTCATTATTATGCTAATCTTTTTTTTTCTGGAGGGTATTTATGTGACTTTTTACAATAAACAAAATCTTCAGGAACATGATTTTTATTTTCTGTAATGTCATCACACTTTCCAGAACATTCGAGGGTCGCCTGTGTGGCGCAGTGGTTAGAGCGTTTGCTCTAGAGTCGCGGAGTAATTAAAGAATTAATCTTTACGTCGTGGGTTCGAATCCACAGTGGGACGGGGAAACCGGTCCTTCGGATGAGACCGTATAAACTGAGGTCCCGTGTCACAAAAGGTGCAGAAACGAAAAAGATCTCTCACTATTAAAAAGCCTTCAGTGCCGAGTACAGGTCTGAATTTGCATCCCTCCACCGGCAAGTGGTGGCGTCTCAATATGAGTGAAAAATTCTCGGACGTTAAACAAACATGTAACAAAACACATTCGATGTGTTGAGTGGGAACGTTGGATATTTTTAAAATTAAAAATTTAGACCTCATAGATAAGAAATGCGTATTACGTGTCGGATGTGCAATCCAGGAATAAATGATTGGGGTGGCTGATGTCTGCCACAGGCAATTGTCGTCTACCACCTCCATTCAATGCTGACACCTCTATGACTTTTCTGCCGGGGTCACTCCAGTACAGTTCTCTGTAATTTACCATTCAGTAAAAACATAAAAATAGAAAAAGTTATGCTTTTTTCAAAATGTCTTGAATTTCAAGTTCGATTTTTTTCCGAATTGAGCATTAAAGCGTAAAGCTTGGATTCTTTCAAAATGCATATTTTATAATACCCTCGTTGTGGATGGACTGCAATACCAAGAGGGTCAACAAGATTCTCAGTTATCAGTTGTTTCTGGAATCGCCCATCTGGTCTGGCCACCATAATCCACTGATATTTGCTGTCAGTCCAATACAAATTTTTCGTCATCCAGTCAAAAGCAAGACCTATAAAATGAAAAAAAAACAATCAAGGATTTTCTAGAAATTCAGTGGTGCAATCAGTTATTTAAAAAAAATATGTTCAATAGGACATTTAAGCCTGCCTCTTGGAGGTTCAGACCTTTCCGCCTATGGAAAGACTATACCTGGAGAGGAATATGTGGATAAACATGTACGTATATGTGTTAACAATTTTTCATAAAAAAAATAGATACTTGTTCTTTCACTTTTCTTTCCTTAAAATTCTAGACACCCAACAAGCAAGCGACTAACAATTATTGTTGAACACACAGGACCTATTCAAATATTGTCGGGAAAAGTAATCAATATACCTTTTACTACGCCGATGCCCTTTACAATGGTTGTAGTATATTCTCCTCTCTTGAGTTGTACCTTACTGATACTCTTTGTGACATTTTCCGAATAGAAAAGCATCCGCTGGTCCCCGTCATATGCCAACGCCATGAAGCCTTTCCTGGTCTTAATGAAGCATTGTTTGGATAAAGTGACGTTCTTGAGAGACATATGACCAAAATTAGCTGGGTACTGGCAGATAGCATCATTAATGGCATAAATATGGGCAGGTCGCATGAATAACCTGGAAGCTGAAATTTGAAAAAGGCTATGTTGCTTGAATTGGTTTCATACAATTGTTCTTCCTGATAAACTTTATTTTAGCAAATGAACAACATGACTATCTTCTTCTGCTTCTTATGTGATTCACATTCCGTTTAGGTTTTCTAAATGAAACATTGTTCTCTGTACCACGTCTACTCAGTTGTTATAATGCATTGCCAAATTTCTCTGTTATTCACCCTGCAAATTTAGCATTGTTGCAAGAATTCTTCATTATCAAGAACAAAGTTGGACCGATACAATCCTGATTTTTTTTTTTTTTACCTTGTTCTGTTTGTTAGAGATTTAACCATTCCTAAAGTTAATGTGCAAAATATATGAAGATATGTAGAGCAATTTTATATACCGCGTTTATGTAATAAATGTTAAATACTACACTAAGGCAGTTTCTTTCTTATTATGTCAACGAACGTTTCGTACTGAGTCCAGTACTATATTTACATCAGTACATATAAAGAATAAATAAATACGCTTTGTGAGCACTAAACTCTTGGTGGCATTTTATAATAAAAGGTCTGTAACTTTTTTTCACTTTCGAACAAAATTTTCTCAATGTTTATGCATTTATATTATCATTTTGAATTGATCTCTATCGAGCTTGAGAGCTTGAAAAGAAATGGTCTGGAAAAAACAGCTTTAAATTAATAGTTTCCATGTGGTGTTCCTTTCCACAGTTATGGAAGTTTTCTGAAATTTTCTTTTCACCAATTATGGAGTAGAAGTCATTCTATCATATAACAATCAGGTAAAACTTGTTTTGAATTTCCCGATGATTATTATCACAGAAATCGTGGCCAGCAGATTCTGAAAATGTCATTGAAATAATTTGTACTTATACATGGTACCGGTCATATGAAATATGGTAAAAATTTGAAGAAATAAATGTATTTATTGTAAAATTTCTACATGTATATATACTACTTAAGAAAAGTAACTCTTAATAAATCGAACATTTTAACACATAGAGTCTGTTATCATTGTTTGTGTGGGTCACTTTTTTGTCATTGTAGATGTAGTTGAGGTTTTCTCTTGTCTTGAGTTTGTTTGAGTCTATTTTCTTAATTGGTATGCTTAATATTTCTTACCTACACAGGTTTTCTGATCCTCTTGAATTTCAAATCCGTCACCACAGTAACATCTTGGTCCAGACAACGGCATATTTACGCAAATTTGGTCACACTTCAATTCGTCGCATGCAGCTGTTTATTAACAGAGATTTGAATAAAATGTACAATGCACATAGACACAGACATTGTGTTCTATCATAATACTGTAAATGCAATTTTGTGCTGATGAAAAAATGACAGTTTGAAAACAATAGACTTTGATGATATTTACATGAATTTCCTGGTTGTAACGTCTCGTCGTACATCGTGACGTCATAAGGGATATAGCCAAGTTGATAATTTATGTAGCCTTTTCCTGTATTTTTGTCATAAATCCGCAAATGTCCATCCAATTGTTCCGAAACAAACAGGTATTTCTAAAACACAATTGCAACAATGTTTAAAATTATACAAATTCTTAATCAATGGGGATATAAGTTAATTTGGTCAATAAGATGTAATAATGTACATGGATGATTCAACATTAAAATTATTCAGCTATACATTTTTTTTTCATGCTTTAAGAAAATGCATTATTTCCCTCCCCACTGTCAAATATTTTATCATGCACATCTCCAGTGAAGACTGCATTTCTTTTGAAATGAACAATAAAATTATAGGCTACACAAACAGCACCAATCTTTTTTCAAAAACAGAATATAAACCCACTTTTGATACACTTCTAAATCTCAGTTCTAGAATTGACAAGAAGTAATGCACAAAAAGTCTAATTAATGTGATCACACTAGTATGCTAGAAAACTCAAACCATTCCTAACTATCCCAGTTTTATTGGCTTAGATAGCAAGATCATTTTCTTAACTTTAAGTCATTTAAAGTCCTGACATTCTATACACAGATCTTATAGCCTAGTAGCAAATTCTTAAAATAAGCACTTAAAAGATCACAACACCAGAAATTCTTATTCAGTGTACATATATATATTTTATGTTCTTAAATATTTACAAATATTTCCATTTCTATTTGTTTTCTCTGTGATAACTCTTTGAAAGTTAGGAGAGTTGATTTCTTGATCATTCTAACGGAATGCAAATTTCGCCAAGCCAAAGGTCAGGAGCTAAGGAGGCCTAATATGCATGAAATTCTCGTGCGGCGGTCTTTGTGTTTGACGTCAGCGGGCGGGGACTATTGAAATTGACATGTGAGACCTCGTGTAATTTAAATCTATTAGTCTACATTTTTAAAATTTAAATTAACAATTTTATTTCACAATGAAATGGAAATATAAGGAATCACTGTCTAGTTAGTAGAGTATGCCAGGGACATCAACGATAGTTGGAAACGTGGGATAATTTATGCATAACGGGCTTTGCCCGTTATGCAAATTATCCCACGTTTCCAACTATCGTTGATGCCCTGGCATACTCTACTAACTAGACAGTGATTCCTTAAATAGATTACCTCAAATAAAGCCACTCCGAAGAATTTGGCGCCTGCTTGAGATACTATGATTCGTCTGCTGTTTCCATTAAACTGCACGCTCTCTATGGTGTTTTTGTGACTATCTACCCAGTAGAGAACGTTTTCCTTGTAGTCAATAGCAATACCGCGTGGAGCCAGCATGTTGTCCGATACGACGGTTCTTCTATTTAATCCTAAAAGGTCCGACATTTCTATTTTCGGAAAAAATCCCCAGTCACTCCAAAACAAATGACTACAATAAATAAAAAGTTCATTGAAGTCCAAAATTGGAAAGTGCATCTACAGTGTACTTTGAAGCTACAATTTTAAAATGTAGAGAAGCACGCGCATATATTGTTCCTAAAGAGAAAATTATATATATATTAGTAGCTTGCCCATTGTCTGGACAAAGAAAATGTGATCTCACCCTTTCTGTGGATAAACCGCTATTCCATGAGGATTGGCAAGATCCGTTTTGACCACCACTTTATAAACAGGGTCCTCTGTTGAATTTTCCTTCAATGCAAACATCTTGATCCAGTTGTATTTGGGATCGACAGAGTAGAGGTTATTAGACAACCAATCGACCGCCAAACCATCAATGCTTCCAGAGGTTCCTGTGAATATCGTCTTTGTCGTCGTGGATCGGTTGACCAACATCAATCCCTGTATTCTCTGCTTGCTTCGCTCGCTCCAGTAGAGGGTCTTGAATCGGTAGTGGAAGGCTAGACCCCTGAACTGCCAGGCAGAGTGTGGAGCGCTGATGTGACGGACGCTTACATTGCCACTCGGAATCCATTCGTTGGGATCGCCTTCGATCCCAACAATTCTTGCTTTTCCGTTTACTAAAGGACTCATTGACCATAAAAGATTAGTTCCATGTCGTACTGCAATACAAGATACTATTGCTAAAAAAAATCTATAGAGTTTTTAGGGAGTGTTAATCTATTGCAATGATCAGTATTAGAATTCATATTTTATTTCATTGAAGGTGTATGAGTAGCTTCAATGACGAATAATTATAGCTTACAAATCTTTTCTATAAATGTCTATTGCTCTAAAAGAGAATGCATAATACACACTAAAATAAATGTTGATGTTCACGGTGGGCGTGACCGCTCAGCAGGGGATGCGTACAATGCACTAATCTGAAGCACCTGGTCGCATATCTTTTTTAAAGAGGTATGTGATTTTTACCCTATTTACTACTGTAAACCACTATTCTCCTTGTGCAAAAAAAAAAAAACAGTTTTGAGATCTATTTTCACTCGCGAATATTTCTCGCCATTAACTTTATATGTTTAATTAGATGTATTTATGTACAATATTTCCTCATTCGCTAAAATTAATCGTCGCGGAAGGATTTTTTTTTTTTAAATTATGAGTTGCGAATAAAGTTGTCGCAAATACATGTACTTATTGGTTTACAACACATTTTTTCTTAAAATGCAAGCATATAAATTTTTATGTAAAGTTCATCAATCTCTTCAAGAAAAAGAGTTTACAGGGCAGAAACACGGATCCTACCTTGTCCACCTTGACTTTAAGTTTTTAAACAAAGGCCTTGGGTTATCAAGGCCCACGCAAAAATGTGTCACTTGTGAGTGCTTTATCTAATTCAACGACAGTTCTTCTTCCAGAGGTTAGCTAGTTATAGTAGAAACAATTTCTTAAGGATGTGAAAAAATAACCACAAGTAATATATTGTGATTAATTGTCATACGTACACTTCTATTGGTATTTGTGAGTGATATTTAGTTAAGCATCTGTGTTGATGAATCTAGAAACCACATCAATTGTGTAATTCAGTCAAAGAAGCTTGGGATCTTGTCAAGTATAAAAAGTACCGGAAAGAGAATACTTATAGCTTTACGAAATAGAGCGGGTTAAATTGAAGGTTTTAAAACAAAGGTACCAAGTATTTTGAATATAGGGTGCTTGTGCACTCATATAGATGTCATTCTTTTAGTCATTTATGTTTGTTATCACTATAAAATTTCTCTATATCTTTAAATAAATCTTGTCCTTTCTATACTCTGGCATCTCCCGCATTTCGTAATGGTTAGATTGATTGTATGTTGTTTTAAGTCCTGTTCAAGAATTTTTCACTCATATAGAGACGTCACCATATACCGGTGAAGGGCTTCAAATTCATACGTTTACTTGACACTCTGGGCCATTGAGCAGTGAGGGTTCTTTATCGTGCCAACGCCTACCGTGATACGGGGCCTCGGTTTTTAAGGTCTCATCCGAAGGACCCGCAACTTGCACTTCAAAGTGCCGAGCGCTTGACGAAGGAATAGTTGCTACCTATTTAAACTTGCAATACGCAAAGATAAATTTCCATTTCTGCCAAAAACATTATCTGCTGTGAAGAAGAAACATCAGACGGACTGTGCTACAACATACATGTTCTAGTATTCAAGATGTGGATGATCAGAAACTCCAACGATTTTTAAAAAAATACTTGAATCACAATTTTCTCCCAAAGTCAGTAACATCTAAAATATAATTTTATTTATACTTTTTACAACCATTCCCTGCGATAAATAAAAGACCGCGTTTTTTTTATATTGAAAAAGTGAAAATAACGAACAGTGATCAATATCAATAAAAATCTACAAAAAAGTACATATGTGAACAGGGCATAATACCCTCGAAACCTCCAGAGGTGAGATCAGGTGCCTAGGAGGAGTGAGCATCCCCTGTTGACCAGTCACACACACCCTGAACCCTAAGCATTGATCAAGTGAACCCTAAGCATTGATCAAGTAGACAGAACATTCCCTAGTCAAATTTAGTATAAAAATAGTGGTCTAATAATTGTTGTGAAACTTGTCAGCCAAAATAAGACCCAATGATACATGTAGGTTAAGTATACGTTTGTTAAGAAGATCATTACAACGACCATAGAATTTACGAAATGCTGACTTTAAATGAGGTTATTTAAATCCCTGTAACATCAACATATCTTCCAGTAGCTTGCCTCGTTTAAAAAAAATTATAGTACTTAGAGCATGCTCTTTAGTATCGAATAAGTTGGTAGACGTAAATACCCTATGCAGATGATAGCGGAATATTACTAAATAAGGAAATTTGACGATGGAAAAGCTGAAGTCTTCTCGTTTGTCTTACAATTTAGTTCTTAGTTGGCCCTTATCGTTAATGTACATGTATATAAAAGAATTTTAAAGTTTTTGAGAATCGACACCTGATTTACACCACTTCCGGAATATGCTGTAGCGAAGTACGTCTAAAGTTTCTCCTTTATGGCAGTTGATATTTTTGTAAGGTGTAAAGATAGGGGCTAGGTAGAGCATTTGCTGGACACAGCAATTAATGTATCTTTGTAAGGATTTTTATAAAGTTTAGGAATCTAGTATAGAAAGAGTAGATTAAATTCACCCTGGTTGACTGGAATGTTAAAGTATTAAATACTAAAAAGTGGTTTTGAAAAATTTCAACCTTAGAAAGTGAACGCTGAGTAAAAGTTGGATTTCCAGACGTAGAATTAAAACCAAGTTCTTCTAAAATACAGTTATAATAATGTGCCTTACAAATAAGAGAATTTAATTGACTGCTTCTTTATTAAAAATTTAAAATTGAAACTTAAAAATTTTCATATCATGTGGTTGGTTATCTACGATACTTTTTGATAAATCCTTTATATTCTTTTGAAGAAAAATTTATTCAATATCTTCTACATAGAAGGAGGAGGTTTCCTACAGTGGCCTTCAACATTTAATTACATCGACGATGTTTTCTGAGGAAGATTATAAATTTTAAGTTGTAACAGGCCTGGAGTTTCTTTGCTCTCCTTTCAAGTCAGCATTTTGCATTTTTTATGGTCTTCATATATAGCAAATTGAAGTATCATTGAATCGCATTTTAACTGACATGTTTCATACCAATTGTTAGGCCAATGTTTTTATACTAATTTTGACTTGTTTTCCTGATCAAATCAGGGCTCACGGGATTGTGGCTTGTCGAAAGTGGATTATTCCTCCCCCTGAGTACCCGATCCCAACTCCAGTGTTTCCAGGGATTCGCATACGATTCGGATTTTTTAATGAGATTCATCACGCAAAATTTGGTGCTTTATTACCTAAGTTCAGTTCTGACGAACCTGTATTCATTGCATCTTAAGTTCATCTTTGGTGTACGTGAAAAATAAATATTAACATGATGGATTTGTCAATTATGAAAAGTCTTCTTTTTTTTAACTGCCTGTGCTTTTTTCAAAACAACCAGATAATGTAATATCGAGGGGTTAGAAAAAAGTTCGTAGAGTTATGCAACAAAATTAATATTGTCTAGGCTGTGCTTACAAAAATTATAGGGAACAGAAAACTGCAAAGGTTTAACAAGTGTTGAAAAATTTCGCTTAGTACGTTGATAATTTGTCAATTTATCATTGAATACAAGACATTATATGATCATCCGGCGATGTCGCCGTTGAGTTTCATGACGTCCGGAGACGTAGACGTCATTGTTTCTTAACGTCCGCTACCCCTGTCTCGGTGCACTTCTTCACGAGCTACCCCTGGAATTTAATATTGACTGAGACTCGTCTTGTTTATATACATGTAATTTTAAAAATTCATAAACAGCTAATTTCAAAACACAATATTGTAAATAGATCTGTACAAAAGATAAAGATCCTCACTTGACTTTAACAGTTTAATCTGCTTATTGGAGAGTTCATTTTCTACCACAAATGAGTAAACGTTACTTTTCTGCGTGACTGACTTTGGACGCCTGCACTGCGAATCTGCATGAAATATGTCTCTGGCTTGCTTCTCTCTCTGAATCAATACAGTTAATCTGAACTTATTTTAACTCTCTCCAGTCTATTTAAAAATTTTGCTAGATCTTCCAAAGTGAAAGAATACACTGTAACGAAAAGACTCCCACCACCCCTTTTCAACGTTAATTTTTAATCACTTTTTTCAGCACTATCTATAAAATTTGCAATAAGATCTCTCAGTACAGACAAAATGGGATAAAAATTGTAAATTTTATGGAACAAAAGTGAAACATCACATGAATGACTGAACGTAAAAATTGGACAATCCAAAAATTCTTTGTCGGACTCACGGTAGAAATACGTCGTATTTTGAGGTTACATCGCCTGAACCTACATGTACCATTGCTTACAAAAACACGGACGTTTATTCAAGGATACAATTCCTTCAAGAAATTTGGTTACAGTATACTTAGTGCACAACACAATGTTCGGTGAGGTCGATGCTTTTTAGTGTTTGTTAGGAGTGGTGTACAGATTTCTGTATTCTACAGATAAGCTTTACTGTAAAGTGGTCAATTAGTCTTTTTTCTTCCTTTCTTTTATCAGTGCTATGCACATTGCTACATGAATGATCTCCTTTTTTGTGAAAAAAAATATTCAAGTGCATGATAACTCCTTAAATGAAGAAGATAAAGAAACAGTAATACTGAATCTTATTTATGAATCCTATTAAAAACACATATCGTGAACAGGGCAATTACATGAAAATCTTGTTTCATGTATTCTGTTTGACATTTTGTTTATATTTTCTCCATTTTGTGTTCTTCAATATGAGAATAAATAGAATTGGATTAGAAAACCAGAGATGGGATCAGGTGCTCGGGAGGAGTTATTATCCCCTATCGACGGTCACGACCACCGTGTCACCTCTGTACTGATCCGATAAAAGGAGTAATCCGTAACAAAATATGTATGAAAACAATGATCTAGCAATTGGTGGAAAATACGCCAGTCAAAATTCGACCCAAGGATATCTTGTATTGACAATGTCAATAAAAAGACCATTAAAATTTGCAAAATGTTGAAAATCCTGTCACTGTATAGAAACTTATTTGTCAGTAATCTACCTCGTTCTAAAAATTGCTCGTACTCGGAACGTGCTCTTGCTTACCGAGTCAGACGGGATATATATATATAAACACAATGTGCAGGGAAGAGTAATATTACTCAAAGAAATATCCTTAAATTAATCGTGTGTGAATTCAATCAATGTTCTTAAATAGTGTTTATGTCTGAAGTAGCTGAGATATACATGACATTCACATGTTGGATTACAAATTGGACACTATATTGTGTAATCTATTCAAGTGGATAATCTAATTCAACAACAATAAATAAAGCCTTTCAAAGTTTAATTGCAACACTAACAATTTCTTAAGGATATGAACTATAATGAATGAATAAGTCTACGTAACGCTCATTTTATACTATAAAGACAACATAGGAAATGATTCATTTTCATATGAAGGCTTCTTCAGTCGTATTTTGTGAATGACATTCAGTTGAACCATGTATTCAAACGAACCTTTCTATTTAGAAACAACGAACCGGTGCCATTTTGTATTTGGGGTCACGAAGTCTCTTTCAGTTCTAAGAGTACCGGAACTTAAATACTTCAGAGTATATTATTACATTAATGCAGAACAAAGTAGCGAGGTTCGACTTTTATTCGGGAAATAAAGCTCCTGCTCTTTGTTATTTTGATACTGTAATTTATTGGTTCTCAAAAAGACAGCTACACGTACGTCCAATTACATACAACATTCAAAACTGATAATCTTTGCCAAGATTGAACGAGATACCACCTGGAATACCACTAGAACCAATATTTCTTACATGTATGTGTACCATCAAACCACTACATTAACCAGCCCCTTTCTATTAAAGAAGCTCTAAACACTAACAAAAAGTGCATTTTGGACTTGAAGAAAAAAAATATATATATATGTGCATATTGAGACTATTTAATTCATTTTCAACGTAGGGTACCTGTCTTATTTCTGCAGGAAAAATGTTCAAAGACAATGGACTATACATGAATCGAAATCACCAGTCTGTTGTTTACTTACTCTGGGAAAATTAATGGAAATAATGAATTCAATTACTTATTCTTGGTCTGAAATAATGCTACGGATATTTTAATCTATTACAAATTGTGTAATTAGCTGTAAATAACCATTTTCTCTATCTCACTTTTCAGGGCAGATCACTCTAACTGTATAAAACTACCCTACAATTAGAACTCTTTAGTGTGCACTGTTTAGAGCTTCCTTAACAATCAAGTTTTTGATTTTCATTTTCTTTAAGTGAATGATCCTGTAAATAAATTTTTCTTGGTGTATAAGTTAATTTTGAAAAGGGAAAGAATTTTTCAGTTTATTAGTGTTTATCTCAAATACAACAGTCTCTCTTTTGCAAACTTTTTTATGTGATCAACTTTTGAACATTTCCCAAAGAGGTATAATTTTAAAGTAGCCTTTATAAGAATGGATTCTATTTGAAAAATTCTATGACTGACTCCGTTTCGTAGGGAAGATAACGAGGGTAAAAGTAGCATGTGCTCAGTTCAATATCTTGCTTTTAAATTCAATGTAATAGATGTTTTACTCCACTGAATCGGATTTGGCAACAAGCCTATAAGCCTACGACAGTGGTTTCCCTATATTTTGTTTTCAATAATCCAAAGTCCCGACTACATTAACAAAACAAAATAACAACAATCCTAGTTAGCAAATTTCGAAGGCAGGACACTCCAGAGAATGGGAGTGATAAGGAAAATTATGAAATTTAGGTATTTTTCTTAAAAATCTTAACATGAAGTGCATGTCCTTGATCTTTTTCATCGAAACGTTTTGCATTGTACGTATACAATTACATGTATATCTTTTAATAAAGGAGTTTTGTTGAAAGTTCCAGGAAACACTAAGGAAAGTAAAATCAGGATACGTGTAGTAATCAGTTGTCTTGATATTGAATTTGATTAATTAATAACGTGTGTTTATTTCGAAAGATTTAATTCTTTTCTTATTAATCTGCCTTGTACAGAGTGTCCTTGGAATGAGGCAATGGGGGAACTCAGGGTTCGCCCATAAAAAGTTAGCATTTCCATTATTATTAACGGCTATTCCCTAATCCCCCTCTCCCGGACGGTTCTCCTGATTCTAAAGTGTTACATAAATTAACATTTTTAAACAAAATATCTTCAGTAGAAGATTAACTCTGCAGGCCGAGTTAAAGGCAATAAAGAGTCAAAAAATCTAAAACGCAGAAGAGAAAACGTGTAGACATGCAGGCACGCAGTTTCAAAGGGGAGGGGGGGTTCGCGAGCATAATTTTTCACTGTTAATTTGGTATGAAAATATTCATTGAAAGGGTATGTACGGATTTTCCCGTTAACCCTATCATAACAAGGAGCACACAGCGGGTGTGACCGGTCGGCAGGGGATGCTTACTCCTCTATGGCATCTGATCCCACCTCTCAGTGTTGACTCTGCTGGTAATTTGTATTGTATAAATAGACTTTTAAGAATGATCACTGTTACCTTCACATTTCATATTAATGTATTCAAAATTTTTCTTATTGAAAAAAATTGGAAATCAATCTAACCTCCCCCCCCCATCCCTCGCCCCCACGAAACAGGACAATTTTTCTTTGGGGGGGGTGACAAAGATTTTTCAAGTAATTTTTTTTATTATTATCTTTCTGCCCCTCCCCCTGCTTCAAACGGATGCTATACATGTATATATGTGAATGTACGTGCTTGACATGTACATGTATATTTCTCCCAAGCACTCTTGAGTGTCATGGCACATGGTCCAAGTTCTAACTTCTATTGAAAAAACTTTTCAATTATCTTTGTCTTCTTTTTAATTTCTTTTAGTGTGTAAAGAAAAAAAATATATGCTATTTTATGAATTTAAGCAAACATGATCAACCCTTGTCCAAGCAAAGTTTATACTTTTTTGGAAAAAGATTTAGTATTTAATTCTAAAGAAAAAATAATAAAAATAAAATAATTAAAAGTTACTCTAAATGTACAGAAATGGAATTTTCCTTTAACTTTGCAGATAAAACTCTACCAATTAAGTTCGGGGAATCAAACAGACAACAAATATTTATTATATATTGTATAATTTCTAATATAAAAAGTTCTTTTTATCTTACCTGCATATCCCATTTCTAGAAAAATTAAAATCTTGAAAAAACACAATAAAATTTCCATTTTTTCGGCACAATTAATTAAAAAGGACAGAAGATACTAAGTCAGGGTTAGTCCCCAATCTAGAGGAAGTTCTCACTGCACTAGTTGTAATAAGAAGTTCTGCTGGAGTATCGTTCCATTTCCGGTTTTTAAGCCGCTCAGTTTAGCGTAATAAGGGTGACAAAATGACTTTGTTTATACCACAAACTCCTAAAGATTTCCGGATCTTTCTATTTCGACAAGTGGAATTATTATTATTATTATAAACGGCATAGATAATATCAATCAAATCTTTAACTTTCTTGTTTTATGCCGAAATAAATCGTTCTCATTTTTGATTTAACATGAATGTTACATATCAATATACATGTACAGCTACATTAATTTCACGTTTCCTGTATCCAAGACATTGTTTATCTTTTTCATTTAAAAAAGATATACTATATTAGTTATGAACATAAACTGAATGCATCACCCTTGTAATATTTTAGCTTGAAGAAGCAAGAACAATTTTACATGTATGTAAGGTGATTGTAGTTACTAATAATTAAAAATAGACGTATCACTTCGACTTATCCAATAAAATATTTTTAAGTTAACACTGAGGCCATCTTTACAATATTGTTTGGTTGCCCTCTCCCGACCGACTTGCTAAAAATGGCCCGACTCAAAACTTTTTTAACCTCCAGGACACAATTATTTTTTTATTGCATTCTGGAAAATAGATTTTGAAAATATAGCATTGAAATTGAAATTTTCTGAGAAAAAAAATTCTCGCCTACCCACCGACCCATTTGTTTCATTCCTAGTCGGGAGAGGGCAAACAAAAATTATTTTAAAGTTGGCCTGATATCATTATAATCATATTTAGTCAAAAATTCTTTAAAATATTCATCAACTTTATCCATTTGACATTTTCCGAAATATATATTACGAGTGCTTATCAAAAAGTTCGTAGACTGATACGATAAAATTGGTACTATGTAGGCTGTGCTTACAAAATATTTATCAGGAACATATAAGTAAGAAGTGTTAAAAGTTTTAACGTTGATAATTTGTCATTAAATACGAAAGACATCAAATGATCAACCGGCGCTGTCGCCGTCTAGTTTTATGACGTTTGACAAGTCATTGCTTCTCAGTGCCCGCTCCCCGTTTCAAGACACTTTTCTTGACGATATGCCCTATACCGTTTTGACCCAAATTAAAACTATGGCCATCCTGCGTTTTCCACAATTTTATTTTCTCAACCTGTCTGCTGCACATAAAAATCTAGCACCGTTCCCCCTAGTTTCGTTTGTGTTACATGTATAAAGAAGTTTTGTGATGTATGTAGATTTTACGTTTGAATTCGTAACTGTTTTTTTTTTTTGTTTGTTTGTTTTTTCTGTACCTCGACCAAATCTTAAAATCATGGACACTCCCCTAGCTGCAGATATTCGGGAGACGGTCCCACAATTATCTTGCTGAAGTTCTTATAGGGGTCAGTAAACAGCTAACAACGCCAAACCACATAAATCAATTTATATAGTTTTATGTCTATACTTAATATGTCAATTATGATGTATAAAAAGAAAATACAAATTAATTAACTACCTACATTAACCTATCTGCTGCATATAAAACACTGATAATAACTGCGACTTTTTTTCCAGTTACAAAATATATTTTTTTATAAATTGAGTCATTTTAACATTATCAGATTTTCCCATTTAAATGATTATATCATTTGACGTCTTTGGTAAAAAGAAAAAAAATAATATATCGCTTTCATCGATACATGTGCAAATAGATAAAGCATAACAAAGCAGTAAAAAATTTAAATTGAGATTTAAAGAGAACAAATGTCTAGCTATGTCCATTTGTTGTTCCACGAAGGGCTTTTGCAGCCTGGAGTTTGGAACGTGCTGATGCAAATTTCTCCACTACCATTTTATTTTCCGGATCAACGTCTAATTTGGAAGTATCCGTCACTATTCTTGCTTTTATAAACCCTTTCATTATGGCGTCTTGGACTGGTAATCGTTCTTTGGTTACATTGTTAACATATTCTCCACTCTCTTTGTTGAGAAGGCCCAAATTAAGCGCGTCTGCAAAGGACACTTTTTGATTGGTTTTTTGATCAAGTACTCCATGTACTGCGTACGTTCTCGTCGTGCTTTCTGCTTCGTGATGCTCGCCGCCATTTTGATATTCTACTTTGACAAGGCCACTCGAAATTGCATCATCAATGCTTATCAAATCACCAGTTTCTGTCTTGTATGTGGAGTCTGCTTTGTTAATTATTCCTTTACTAATAGCAGCTGATAATGTCATTTCCTGTTCGGTTGAAGGGTCAATCACACGACTGATTGTGTAGGGTCTGTTCTCCTTGGTTGTTTTAATGGATATGATGCCATAAGATTTTTTCTCTTCACGGATTTTCTTTCTAGATGTGAATTCAAACATGATATTGCCATTGTTCATAGCTTCAGTAATAGAACAAGTGTCTCCTGTGTCTGGATTTATGTAGCTATTTGTCGTTTGGTCGATGATTCCTAACATAATGGCTTCTTGGAGTGTCAATTCTCGTTCTTCGTCACGTGGGTCAGTCACTGACGTTATGACGAAAGTTGATCTCTCCTCCTCCACTGATGACATCACCTGATCTGTGGACGTCACCGTTGTCTCTTCGTAGGTTTGATAAGATTCTTCTTCCTCAAGAGCATCAACAGTGTCCATCTCTTGCTGAAGAGGCTGTCAATGATAAAAAGTCATTAAATTTTATGATTGCTCCTTTTCAAATGCAGTATTGGGAATATAATCAGAATGAAAACACAAAGACTGTCCTTTTTTACCTGAACTTGACAGACAAGTAACTCTTCCAATGGTTTCCTATTTTCGGATGGTAATGGTTCTTTTGGTGTCTCAAACAATGTAACAGAACTTGACGAAGTTAGATCATTTTTCTCCAAGTCAAGACTTGTGTCCCAAAACCTGAAAATTTATCATAGATAATACACACTAACTTTTTATATTTATCTGCTTCACTGAAACAATGGCCCTGCAAAACTTCTCATCTAAGTTCTAATATATCAAGTTTCAGACCATCTTCTGCACATAATTAAAGAAAGAAAAAAGATACAGTGTCCTTACTTGACAAAATGAGCTGAAGTCACGAATTTCAGTTCCTCCCACTTATCACATACAAGCAGGAACTTTGGTGACTTCAAGAGCTCAACAATTCCTTTGTACGTTTCCCAATAGGCCCAGAAATCCTGTGCAACATATATGCAAAAGTTTATTATCAAATGATATTATACAAGGTAGGAAATTAAAGAGTTATCCAATACTTCTCTGAAAGATATAAATTAGATAGATAATTTTTTTTACCTTGTAGTCATTAAGGAGATCTTTGAGGGACTTTATTTGAACAACAACTTGGGATAACATTTCTGAGTCTGAAAAACAATGATAAAATAGTAGTAGAGTAAAATATTGTAAAAATACAGTCTTCAGATTAAAAGAAATTCAAAGATGTTAAAAACGCTCACCTTGTGCGACTACTTTGTCACCAGATTCTTCCAAAATCATGTTCAGTCGAAGGATTTTCTCTTGGAGCTCCTCAAATCCACCGTAACCATTCCAGTTTTTGAGGAGTGTGTCCTCAATGTATTTCAGTACACCCGTAAGATCTTTCTTATCCTTCTCTGGCATACACTGAAGCATCTGAATCTAAAATGCATGGAAATCTTGTAATTAAAAAACTAGATAGATGAACAAATACACATAAAAGGGTGCGAAAAAATATGTAGTAATACAAGAGAAATGCATACATGTGTACAATGTATGCTAGGTGGACAAAATGAGGGATGAAGCAATGAGAAGAGAAATCTTTTCATTGGTGTAAACAAACAGTCTTCTGTACTTGTACTGATCATGTACATGTACTTATGTACAATAAATAAAATCAACTTCTTTAAATCTCACCTCTTGATCTGTCCAGTCTCTAAATACCAAACCCATGAATGCAATCATCTGGTAACCTAAGCGTTTGATGCTGGTTGTCCACATACCTAATAACTGTATTCGTAATCTGGAAAAAAAACACATATCTTGTTCAAAGGATGACCATGATTGTACCAAAGTCTAAATACATATCTCTTACCAGTTACCACTGCTTATAGCCTGAATACTGAATTTCCAAGTAAAATCATTATTGTAGTTTGTAAATACTGCAATCTACCGTAAGAGTTCCTTTTTTGAACTAAATACCGGGTACATGTACACACGTACCATGTATAAGAACATGTGTATATAATAATAATTTTCTGGTTCTCTGCCAGAGCTGGTTACATGTACCTGATTACGGCCTCTAAGGCTTCACTAGAGGGCCCACGAATAAGAAGTATCACAGATGGGACCAATGCAGATTGACCTTTCGAGTTCTTTACCTGAAAAATTTATTTAAATTTATTTATTCACCAAACAGTTTTTCCTCAATTTAACAGCACATCAAATTTTTAGTATGTATTTACCCATTACGATTATAGCTAGAAAACATAAAATTAGTGGTATACATGTTCATATTTATGTTCTCATTTAAAATGAGAAAGAATTTTTTTAAAAACAAACTAAGTTTTATGTTGTTTTTTTTTTCAATTAATATCTTTATTGAATTATGATGATAGCGAATGTGAGATTTAAACATACAAGCCAATTCCCTTTCTTGCTGTTGTCAACGAGTGTTAGTGTCTCTCCTTCAAGGAAATCTATCTGGGAAAGTAAATTAAAATAAAAAATGTTTTAGATTATTGAACTTCATTTACAATACGCTTAACTATACTGAGTAGGGATGCTGAATGCTTGGTGCACTACCTCGTTAGTTTTGTAGTCGGTAAGGGAAACAACTGGGATTGGTTTTGCAATCTTCTCAAGCCTCGTTTGGACCGGAACAATGTCACGTGCTCTGTCAAACAGACTGTCAACTTTGCTTTGCCATTGAAGGTAGGCTAAAAGCACGTCCTAAAAATGTACATATATATACATGTATGTAATAAAACATATACAGTCTGGATTTAGAAATACAACTTTAAAGCCCGAAAACTTTTGCAACACTTCACAAAGAAGAAAAAGATATACACGATCTACGTTTCTTGACCAGTTCACAATAATCTGTCTTAATCAAGGCCACATAATAATAATATTTCTTTGGTAGGTGTAAGTACTGTGTTTCTTTTATCCCTTTTCATGAAACTTTTCTCTATTTCGTGTTAAATATATGAACTGCGTTTCACTTGAAAGTTTTTTTTTTTTTTCAAAATGCACTTCTTGTGTTCAACATCTCGTATAAAATCTACGCAGCACTAAACGTAATATGGCGTTTGTGTTTGTGGTACTATGGTACAAGAAACGAATCATGTGTCAAAGATGTTTGTTTGGTTTGCGCAATAGAAAGGTCGCAAACAGTTACCAAACGATTGACAGAAATTTAAGGCAAGAACTACCACGAGTAAAATCTTCGTCGTTAAGTCACTATACTGATCTGAAGATTAGAAGTGAAGTAGAGGGTCCTTTAGTAGAAAAAATGTGGTGTAAAGCAGCGACAAAACTATAGTACGACGGGGCCCCTAATTAGTCTCCAACGAAGACAGTACTTACCGCGGAAATCGCTCTAATAGCAGATTAGTACTAAGATACTTATCAAGGGATTGTAATATTAAACGCATTCCTTGATGTTTCTTATCAGGCTTCTAAACAAATAAAGACTCATCTATAGGGTTAGTCAGAGTCACAGCGAAATTCACTAATTAAGCTGTTAATTCAGACTTATAGTCTAGTTTCGAATTAAAGAATTAGTTTTCACTGAATTATTTTCTGCATGCAGTTGTATACGTAAGTGTGAAAATGCATATCTGCAAAGAGTTAAATCAAGTTATATCTAGCTAAAACCTCATGAGGACAATAATTGTAGTGAAGACAAAGTGGCTATATCCATACAAATAATCGGCTAAATAGTGATAAAATCGGTATTTCGTCCTTTTTCTGAATTACCAAAAGGATTTCCACACTTTTTGTCTTTTTTTAACTGTCCTTAATTTAATTGCAAGTTTCATACAACAGAGCTTTTATCAATTCTTAATTATGAAAATACTTCTGCTTTATAGCTAAAAGGGATGTAGGAATGACGATTTTATGTTTTCTAAATTCTTTAAAAAATCACAAAGCTAAACAAAGCATTCAGAGAGCTGTCACGGTAAGAAATGTGACCTTTTTTGGATTTAATATAAATTATTGTGTAAATTAACTTTTTGGACTTTGTGTAAATTGTAACAATTTTTTTTTTAATATATTTCAGCAAATGTGATAAATTTTATAAATTCTTTGCAGCCTTTATCCCACCTGAAGCATAATCAGAGATGAAGAGTTGACTTCTGTTGATATTTATATTAACAATTAATCTTTCATCTAAATAAACCCTTAGATTTTTTATACCTCTTTGATTTTTATCTTTATAAAGATAAGACGAATAAACCTGATTTTTTTTCCCTGTACATCTCCTACCGTGAACTAATTTTTATGCTATTTGCTGCCCACGGTGTAATAGTCATGGAACTAGATCCACCGGCAGTATTCCATTTTCCCTCGCGTTTCATTTTGGAATTTTTCTGGTTTTGTCCAGATCTTTACATGATACATGTAAAATACTGCATGGCTATGAAGACAATAGCAAGTTTATTGTCTCCCTCGAAAGCAGCCTCGAGAAATAATTGCTGTCGAGAGGGACAATAAACTTGCTATTATTCACATAGCCACTATATAGGTGTATATGATTATGTACATATTGCTAAAATGCCATCAATCACTCAATACCGTTTGATTATTGATTCTTTGTACTTTATTGTCATTATGTAAAAAATTTGAAGGAGGGTCATAATACAGAATACCTCTGTCTGTAATCTATAAATACATCTGTCTGCATGTAATCTATAAATAAGAAGCTTATGATTTATACCTTCATTTCCTCCTGTATGACCTTGACGTCTGAATGGTCACCGGTGAGTTTAGATCTGTCAAAGGTCAAGTGGATACGGGATAAACTGGTGTTCATCCAATACTCCACCTCATCCACCTCGTGGAAAAACTGCAAGCCAGAAAAAAAATATCCACGTTTTAATACCAAACCGAAAAATTCAGGGAACAATCTAATTAAAAGAAGTTCTTGCGCAAAGTTAATATGGCACGTATCTAAGAATTCTTCATGATCATAATTATAGATTTATGAAGAGATACATGTATATGACCACACTTTATGAGTGATCCTTTTTATAGAGAACCGTAATTGACTTACTTCGTGAAACATTGCAGCGTTTCTAAGATGGACCTGGGAACACTGTAACATGGTGTCAATCCACCGCCAATTATTTCTGACGGCAACATGACAGTTCTAAATAAAAGGAAATATATAGATATACATTATAAACAAATAACTTCAAAAACATTCTAAAAGAGAAATGAATAGTAATCATTTTTAAGTTCAGGTATAACAGTACATCTAACCGAAAAGGTAATTGAAATATTCAAAGCATATTAAAAAAAATGCTATATTGGTTTTGCCGAACAAGTCGATCTCAATAAAAAAAAATCCCAAGTAATTTTTTTACAGGTACAGGCTTGTCGTGTGTATTTAAGTTTTAAATTCACTTCCAATCTTTTTGTTTTAAAAATATGTGTAAAATCAAGGAAACCAAAGGACTAGTACTAACCTTTGCTGTTTTGACCAAACTCTCGTTGCTTTGTGACTTTGCTCCCGTGTGCTTATTGTTCTCGCCTAAATTGACCAGGTGCATGGCACGTGCATCGAAGTCACTCGTAAGATTCTGGAAAAAAAGTTATATGAATGTGTCTAAATAACAAAACTTCAACCGAGTACATGTGTTTTTACATTGTCCTGGAACATGTGTTATTTTATTCATTCCTCGTGAATTAGATTTTTTTCTTTTTTCAGTTTTGTAATATTCTTGAATGTTTCATACGACTATTTTTGTCTGAAATAAGGAGTTAAAAAAAATTGAAAGAGCACCTCTATCTGTTCCTCTAAGGATGCTATTCCACTTAAAACTTCCATGCATGACGTCCTTTTTGAGGATATAGCCTGAAAGTAAAATAGAGTTATCTCTCTTAGTGTAAAAATGAATATTGATGCGGAAGCATTCATCGGTGCATGATGTATTACTCGTTGGTAAGCTTTCATAAAATGACTATATATTATCGAAAAACCTTGTCTCGACTCACCACAACTATCTGAAATAATATTTCCTTTTGATTTGCATGAAACCTGATTTATTTACAATTTTGGCATACTATGTATTATAACATTTTTTTTAATTTTGAAAGACTTACCTTTGCCGATTCATATGAATTAACTATTTCTTTTGTGTCTTCATTGGAAACTTTCTAAGAAGGGAAAAAACAATTTGTACAAAAAAAAACAGATACATGTACATTGTATATGGAAAAGTGTTCTAAATTTTTATATGTAGCTCTATTGAATATTTCATAAATATTATTCTTATATACTACATTTTTTTCAAAATATTTACAAGTACATGTACACTATAAGTCTAAAATATCTGTATGAGAATAATTATTCATGAATATTGATTAATTTTTTCAACACTAACAGTCGCCAAAGAATTAAGAGGAAGTACTATCGTCGTAGGAAGGCCAACGTGTACATTACTTACATGTCGGGTCATGACCCTTTTAATGTTGTCTTGGTAACGAAGAAGTTCGGTACTTTTATTTTGTTGTCGAATTGAGGCTTCCAAGATTGCTGCTTTGCATATTCCAAATGGATCTGTTTCCAACTCACTCTAGAAGAAAACATCAATTGATGTGTAAACATTACGGCAAGAAGTTTTTACTTCTTTGTTGCATTATGTGATGTATACAATCATCCTATTTACATGCTCATATTTTTTTAATAAAGGAAAACTTTAGGGAAGTAGAATTTTTACTTTGGTTTTATCATCCTTCCTTGTACCTCTCCCACCTCCTCACCCACAGATTATACTTTCTGGTAGGGAATATATTTCCCTTCCCTATTCTTAGCACTCGGCGCCCCTCCCAATGTGAATATGTACGCCCGAGAAAAATTCTAAATAAATGAACTTCCTATGGGCCTCTTTTGTGTTTACATTTAAAATATTTTTAAACCCGTTTCTAAATCGGTTTAAACTTAAATGTCAAGCGACAGTGAACTGCTTTCAAGATGATTAATATATTCATTCATTCACAATTTAACTTTGAATAAATTCGGTCAACAATGTTAAAAACAATATTCAAACAAACCTGCTTGTTTTGTCAACTAACCTGTGTATTTAGCAGCCACTCTAAGCATTTCTGTATATCTTCTTTTGCCATCTTTTTCTGTAGAGAAAAAAAAGCAAACATTGAAATATTTCTTATCCGACGGCGGGGATAACAATAACCTGTAAAATTGAAAAATACAGCAATTTGCGTGGCGGTGAACTTTCCCCTGTCATTAACCTTGAACATTTGCGTAATTAATTCGATGTTTAAAGATTGGGTTATTGAAGAAGGTGTGCCCATTTCTCTGGATCGATAGGTTAATGTGAAAACTATAGACAAGAAAACGCACAATCAGGGGAAGAAATGATGCGTGTTATTGCTCTATGAACATTTAGGTCATCTTTGCAAATGCCCTTAAATGTTAACAGAACCTTTCTTAAAAAGTACAACCATTTTGGTCTTATGAATGCTTTCAAGAAAGGATTATGTACTGAAGTCTCATATTATTCATAGTTTTTAACTATCCATCAATGGGTGCCTCTGGCATCTTAAAACGTTAATAACATGACAGTGATGACTTTCTAAAGAGGAAATGACCACAATTGCTTTCTTATTCAATTGATTTCCAGTCTATTTTCTGGAGTCAAATCCCCAGTGAAATACACGACAAACAATTTATATGCAAAATAGAGTAAATACCAAAGCTATTTAAAATGATCAGAGCTTTTATCAAAGTTCTCTTAAAACAATTAAATGAAATCTGATCACCTCTTCAGTTAAACCAAAAAGGTAATGTATACTTATATCATTTCTAAGTAAGCATAAAAATGTGCTCTGTTTTCACAGAATCATCCAACACAATTAAATTGATTTCATTCAAAAACAAATTTCACTTCTGAAACGCAACTTACTATGCTACGTTGAAACTATATCTAAACACAAAAAATCCATACATAGAAAAAATGTTGGATATTATATGCAATGACACATGCATATGTTGCTTGCTGAATTGTGCAAATATTAACAACTTCGTCCTGCTGGGAAGAATCAAATTAAACAAATTCAAACTTTACATAAAACAATTTTTAAAAGGAAGAAAACATGTATTTAGCATAAATTAGAAAAATTACCTCGTATGCAGAAACGAGAACACTATATAAAGTAAATAGTCTGTAAGCAGTCCTGAATTTTGTCTGGGGTATGACTCAAGTCCCATTCAAACCCAGCCAAAACAGTGTCACCTGACATAAAAGAACCTCCCAGATATTGCCAACATTGAAATCTAGATCTAGCTTAGAAAAAATGCCATTCAAAGCTGTTATGTAATTAATTGCCGCTATCAGTATTATCTACCGAATGTGTATTGTGGCGAGCATAAAAACACAGCATGAATAAATGGAAATCGTTTTATCATTTATCAAACACAACTTAATGTCTAAAACATTGCTAGGGGAGGGTATAAACCGTGAAAAACTAGGCTGGATAACAAAGGTTAGAAATAATTTAAACCGAAACTTTGACTATACGCACACAGTTCTGGGAGGGAGCTTATGGAAGGTTAAGGAGGTTCGACCCTGAGCTTTTGGGCGGATTTTTCTGGACATCTATTTCTAAAATTCTACATCATATTTTATAGTTTTTACTAAATAGAGATTTGGATTCTTAAATGCCAGTTAAACTATATTTCATTAAATGCCACACAAAAAGCATTGAGGAACTATATTTTGTGGCGGAAGATTCTTAAAGGAAATGAAGTACTGTTAAGTTTGGATTCCCATTTTTCTCTAAACACATTTATTTTGTGAAGTGGAATATTTTGTTTAAGTCTTAATGCCAGAAAAATGACATTTCGTGAATGCAGAAAGGTCGCATAATATACTTTTATGCATGTAGCTGCTTTTAAAAACAAGATTCCTCAAATTACGAAATAACACTTACAAATTCAAACAAAAGCTCCTAAGAATTTTTTAAACACCATTAAATAATGAAAATTAACAAACATTGCATCTTTTTTACAGAAAACACATGGCGTCAATAAAAGAGAGGAATTTTTTTTAAAAAAGGTGCTCGTATAGCTTCATGATCGAAGAAACAAACATTTTCTCCCAAGTATTGTTTTCAATACTTTTTGCACAGCGGATGTATTTTCAGCAGGAAAATTTTAACTGAACTAACCTTTTTGACTTTCGGTGGATCATTCCGTTTAAACGAAAATCGAAATGCATCCCTGCAGTAAAACCAAAGGATGACGAAAGTCAGCATGATGAAGAAGCCTGCGAACGAAAGGATTCCGAATATTTTCTATCCCTTACCAAAAAAGCGATAAGTAAAGTACGAAGTCCATTGATAATACGATTAGCTTTGCATTAGATTTTCTTTGTCAAAAATCGATATTGAATGCTATATTTACAAACTTTATAATTCTTTGATTATTAAACAAAAAGATGGCTTGATTTCAAACCAGAGCACAAACATGCAACATAAAATGTGTAATCCGGCAGGCACTCAAATCCGATGCAAAAGAAATCCTTATTTTTGAAAGCGTCCATGATCCTCATGTCGTCGATAACGCTCCCGGAAGTTAAGGTAACATTACCAATACCAGAGAGACATTAGTTTTCTTTGAACGCCCACTTTTTCCACCTCCGTAAAATGCACACAGCGCCAGGTGACAATCAAGAGCAGGTTTTTCGATATATGATGCGCAAACATTAAATATGCAGTATCTTTCCCCCCACTGCTAAGGTAAATCGTAAATCTTCTATCAAATAAAACGTATTACATGTCTGCTCTTTGATGTGTTCAGAATATTAAATACTTTAATTCCTTTTTTTTTTTATTTTTGTTCACTCTATTTAGAAGAGTGTTAGACATAGGCTTACTACTGCCTTCGTATTTGATGCGTGAAAATATTTTTGTAACGTGAAAAAATTGTATAGGCTTCATCGATCAAAACCCCTGTAGGCATTTCGTTCACACTTAAATGATTCAAAACATTTAATCCTCTAATGCAACAACTTTAAATGTTATTCCAGTATTATTGCTTATTTGGGAAGGTCAAACATTGACAATGGTATAGTTAAATTTTACTTGTACATGCTGTAGGTGCAATGCAGCAGACCGTGCACATTTTTGCCAAAGCTGGTTAAACCTGTCGTGGTAAACATGTTTACAAATTTACATAAAAGTACAACATATTTTAAGTTCCTTATCAATAACTCAATAAAATCTTTGCGTGTCCTGTTTATAATAATGCCATGTAATATGGTTGTAATCATTCATAATTCCAACACATGATCATCAAAATTGTGACTGTAAATGCCAAAATACAATAAATTAACCACCAGCTTGTCCTATAAAGTTTCATGGCACCTGGAACATGAATTCACCAGAGAGTAATAAAAACCACAGAGATATCCCGAAAGCCCGAAAATCTTTCCTCGTCTTGGTTTGAAAGACCTTCAATCTTCATATTACAAAAAAAAAACCCAAACAAACAAACAAACAAAACAGCTGACTATGACTTTACCGAAGTAAATTTTCATTTCAAAGTAACCCAGGAGTTAAACAGCACTAAATCAATAGAGAAATATAAAGTTCTAGATCAGAAGTAACCATGCAACTGAATACTATATATAACTACATTTAAAAAAAATACTGTGTATAAAGAAATAAGATATAATTATCCAAAAGGAAATAGTTTCATGACAAATATGCATTTCATTGGAAGAAATTATAATTGCATAAAAATTATGCAAAAGAATTTATTGTATACAAGGAATTTGAAGCAATAAAGGATTCGGGGGAATATAGCACAGAAATGGCCACACTGACCATATCTTTTTGTTTAATGTAACAGTCTTGTAATTATTTCCACTGAGAGGAAACGACCTTATTTAATGGGTTCCTCTATTTGCCGTACTACATGTAGTCATATCCTTCCCCTCCCTTTTATTTTATAGGATACTAGTCTATCGCAATTTCTCTCCAATGGCACTTCGTGTAGTGTAAAGCAACTAAAATACGCATACCACGAACTCTTTCAGCATTTTAGAGGCCTTACCCCACTAAGGTCTAACGCTGCCGATTACCAAGAATTCTGCTTGCTTGATTTGATTCAGGAAACATAAACTATGGAGGAAGTTTAAATAGATGAATGACATTGTACAGGTGATGAAACTACACTGTCTATGGTTTGAAAGTTCGCTAACCATTCACTTTCTCTACTATATAGTCTTTAAAGAAGGAAAGATAACCGCTATCTTCTTTATTTATTATGATTTTTTTTAACTCCAGTTGAATTTAAACGATATCAAAGAAGCGAAGACGTATTTTATTACAAGACTAGAGGGTTACGAATATTTGAGTATAGGTAGTTAGAGACATTTTTTATTTAAGGTCATCATTCTCAATTACATTAGGATAAAAACGCATTACGAGATGCTTTGATGTATAACTGGGTTTTGAATTATTCAACAAAGGAAAGACATACAAAACCACAAAATGTCTTTCTATTCAATCTTCATTGAAAAATAACATTAAAATATATATCCAGTAGATATTTAAAGTAGTCAAAAATATGTCAACAAATAATTAATATGCAATATTTTGTGGAAAGTCCTCTACATTGAACATAAATGTATATACATATATTCTACAATAGAGAAAGTGGATGAATATCACGGTTTCCTTGGGGGGGGGGGGGGGTTAATACAAATTACGGTATACCCGTCTTTAACGTCACTGATTTTATTTGCAAAACCCTCTACAATCCTCCACAGTAATCAAACTTATTTTTCATATTCAAGCAGCGAGAGCCATTTTTAAGATTTAAAAAAAGTAATATCCGTCCTGCAATAAGTTTTTACATTCCTTTTTTTTTATCAGTGTCATATACTAGTGCTGTTTTCGGAATTCAATTTTTACTTTTCACTTTCATTTTCATTTGAGGTTCATTTGTTGTAGTGTACATTGAATTGATGGAAGAAAAGAAACATCCTAAATCAAAAGAAAATCTTGTCAAGTCATTATCATTCATATTCATCGACTTCATCAACCATGTCTAGGTGATAATGATGAATCAGATTTGCTTGAAGATATAGAAAGGTTCATACCGATATATAATCAACATTCAGAAGACAGTACACCTTAATCGGTTGAATTAGTCAGTCCAGAGACTCTTATTGCCTATGAATTTATGAATGTCAATGTGTATTTTATCTGTGATTTCTGGCATATTCGTCTAAAAGGGCCTTTGATCTGACAATCAGAATAGGCAAAAATTAATCTTCGTCATAAAAAGGTCTTGTTCACACAATGCTGTTTTTGTCCACATTTATATCATTTATTGATTACTAAAATCACAGTTTAAATGCATTCAAAAAAGCAGTTTGACAATTCATTTTAACGGTTTTTTTAAGGTGGTACATACATTTGTATAAATTTTTGTCCTTGTTTCAGGATCGAAATATTATAAGTTCTACTTGTCAGAAGTTTTCAAAAATCAATTCTTAATTTTTTTAAGATAAAAAATTACTTACTATTACATGAATTGTACACTCCTAATTAAGACTTCAAGATATATCGAACTGCAAACACAGTACACTGATGAGATTGAAAGGTTGAAAATCCGGCTAATGTTTAAATAGCCTTTCTGCACAAATAGAAGTCAAGAGAGCGATTAATGGGACCGAAAATTCACGGCAATTGTGTATCCACACCTTTTGTGATTTCTACTAGCAATGAATTTCGATACCACCTCTAAATACTACACGCTACTGAACCTGCAGGCAATGCTGACAATAGAATGGGGAATAAAAATAGCTAGAAAGGAAGTCTTAAAAGAATTAATAAACTTCAAAGGTGCTGCCGATTGAATGTAAGGTACAGAAATGTGCATAGTATAAAAATCCCAGGAATAAAACTATTAGCATTACATGAAAAAATATAGCTTTTAATAAAGTTTTACAAATGCCTCACCTGTTTTTGGCACTTCACAGTAAAAAAATGATTAATTTCCTAGAAAATGTATTTCAATAAAATCACAGCTTTTTGCTTCCAAAGGATCGCCGCCTCGATGGTATGTGATGCGAGGCGGACAGGTAGACGAAAAATGTGGAGAGTCTGTGCAAATATACGGGGCCCTCCTTACACATGGGGACAGATAGTTATCGGATTCTTCACCAGTTATTGTCATTCGTCACCACATATACCGGTTTTCTCACTTATTAGAAATTTAAAGTGCCAGATTAAATGCTGTTAATGGGACAATATTACGTAAAAAAATCTCGCTTAATTACTTTGGCAGAATCCTTCTCCTGCTTTTGCAGAAAGTAAATAAAACATTCTTTAAAATTCTTGTTTAAGTAAACGCCATGTTTATTATGCATATTAATTGCTAAGAATGCATATATGAAATCCTACGTATGATCAATCAAATTATACGATCTCAATTGATTGAATTCCTGGCCGGATTTTACAAAGGAACTGTAGTGTAAAGGCTTAAAAAGCTTTTCAAAGCTGAACAAAAAATCTCTGCAGTTGAGCTGCTTTACAACTGTGTTTGTAGGTTAAGGTAATCTGACCCACTCTTTTCTTTACGTGATACATATATAAGATATGAAAAATAAGACTTATCACGCTAGTGAATTTTTTTATGTTCTCTGCACTTTGCCCTGCAAGATTCCGTACAATTTTTCTGTTACCATTGCCCAATTTAGCATCGTCAGTATGCAGATATTGTTTGTAAAGATAGAGAGGTGAGAGGAGTTTTTTTTTTTTTTGTCCGTTCAAAATCGCCCACACTACTTATCAAATATACGTAAAAGTCTATATATAAGGAAGAAAAAAGTGATTTTTACACCAAGACATTAGTACACACCAAATACCGCTATCATTGCATTGATCAATGTACACATTTTGTCAATGACGACATTAGGAAACCGAGCCACTTCCGCGCTGTCAAGTTTTTTTAAAAAATCTAAATAAACTGTTAGTTATATTTAACACCGTGTGCAGCTGTCAATAATAAATCAAAGTGCATCTCTTCACGACAAAAGTGCACGTCTTACCTGGTGCACCTATTCTTACCTGGTATTTCATACGTCCAATTCCGCCTATTGACGAGAAATGAATCCAGTTAAAACCGTGTAAAACCTCCTCCGTGCAATTTAAAGCGTGAGACTCCACTTTGGCAAAATAATACGGAATAATCACAGTTGACTATATATATTTTCTTAATTATATCTCATTACAAGTGCCACGTGCGATGCAAATATAAACGTACTGTATATTGTTCAATAATATTCTGTTATGTGTCCACCATCAACCTGTCGTTTCTATTGACGTGTGGGGGAAATAGATATAAAAGAGCTTACATGTATAAAACCTCCATTGTTTGAGGTATTTACTTCGCAAATAATGAAGGATACTTATATTTGTTACAGTTGGATAAGTGATGTAGTTAACTTACCTGAACGGTCCAACGCAACCACATAATAGGAACCACTAGACGCGATTATCTCCAAACCGACCTAAGCGTCCTAGATCTATCCAAAATACATCTGACACAATTACTCAGACTCATTAAATTATAAATTTATAAAA